GAGAAGGAGAAGGAGAAGAAGAAAGAAGGAGAAGAAGAACAGGTTTATTAGATTAGATCTCAGACTCTAGTGCCTCCTGAGTTTAAAAAATGAGATTTCTTTTTTTAGTACCAGGGACCAAACTCACAACCCCATGCTTGCCATTGAGGTGCTGTACCGCTGAGCTACATCCCCAGTCCTCTGAGTTTAAAAAAGAAATGTTTGAATCAAAGCATGGGAGCCTGGAGAGGCTAAGACAGGAGGATCTCTTGAGCCCAGGAGTTAGGGACCAGCCTGGGCAACGTAGAAAAATGCACCTCTTAATACTACCGCTAATAGTAAAAAAAAAAAAAAAAAAAAAATTCTAAGAAAACTACTGAGCCACCCTACCCCCACAAAGATTCCAGTCTTCAGCTCAGCTGTCTGAGGTGAAGATCTATGACCCCAGTGACCAGAAATTCCCTGCGTGTAATTCTGGAATTATTCCCATTTCACAGAGGGAAATCTGAAGGCCAGAAGAGGGGTGGTTACTGAATTGGAAGGCAGGGGGCTGGGGATGACAGTCCAGAGTGGAATCCTTGGTTGTCACGGTAACAGAGGGGTCCACCTTCCCCTCTCCCTGAGTGCAGCTCTGCCCCCCTCTTCCCCAGCTGGCAGGCTCTTGGGGGGAGGGCAGAGTTGGGGAGGGCTGGGATGAGCTACTTCGCAGCTTTCAGCCCGAGGAGGAAGTTTATGGAATTCCCCTGAGCAGAAGCAGTCGGACTTCCCCCGGAGCGAGGATGAGGAACAGAATACCTGTGGCCAGGGCGGTTCCTCCGGCCATCTGCACCTGCAGGCTGGGACAAATTCCCACACCTCCGCCCCTGTCCTGGGGCCAGCACGAGGCTTCCCAGGCAGCCACTGTAACTGCTCCCTGCTTCACAACGGAGAAACTGAGGCACCCCCCGAATGCCTTCCAAACTGCGCCGAGGCCGCCACCGGGGGCAGCCGGTGCCTTTCAGCCCGTGGCCCTAGGCTCACCTCCTAAACAGCTGCCTACGCTAGAACGGCCGCTACGCGGAGCTTCACCTCGCTCCGGAGGCTGGCGCAGGAGGATCGTCGCGAGTTCGAGGCCAGCTCGAACTATACAAAGGGAGGCGCTGTCTCCACAAAGCGCAAAAGAACAAAACAAAAAATGTCCGACCGCCCCATGAAATTCTGCCTAAGCAGGAGTGCCCCCCTAAACCCGGCCGCAGCCTCGATCCAGGGAGGTGGCCCGATGGGGATGTCCATCTCCTGCGACAGTGACTCACCTGGGAGGGCGATGCCCAGCAGGGCGAGCAGCGCGGGCAGTGGAGCCATTGCCAGCGGAGCGCGGATGGCGGCAGCGCGGGCTCGGCGCAACTGGGGCGCAGAGCGCGCGCGGCCCTTTATACCCGCTGGCCCGGGACCGAGGGGCGGCGCTGCCGCTTTCCCGGAAACCTCGCGCCTTCCCCTCCCGAACTGGGGCTCTGGCATTTCCGGACCCAGGGTGCCCGGCGAGCGGGGTGGTCCTGCCTCGCTGGCCTGGGAGCCCCGGAATTTCCCAGCTGTGAAGCAATGAGGAGCGGTGGGGAAGGGAGGTGGTCCGGGGGCTGCCCCGGGCCACGGTAGACGTCTCCTCCTCCGACCTGGGTGATGGCGATTCACCGTTTACTCTGCCCACTCCGCTCCAGCCCACTCTGCTGGACAATCGGGTTGTCACTGATTCCATTCCGAATAAGGATAAACTGAGGTTCCGAGTTGCAAAGTGATCTGAACCCAAGGTTTTTGGTTTTGGCTTTGGTTTTTGACACAAGGTCTCGCTACGTAGCCCAGGCTGACCTCGAACTTTCCGAGATTCTCCTGCCTCAGCCTCCCGTGCCTGGATGATAGGCGTGCGCCACCACACCCTGCGTGAACTCAAATCTTGACTTCTCAGCTCCGCAAGTCTCTTTGGCCGAGTGCAGCAGCCCCTTGTAGGGTGGGAGCCCAGGGTCCCTTTCGGGGAGCCCTCCATTGAAAGTGCCCCTCCCCAAGGGACCTGTCCCCGCCCCGGTGACACGGAGGCTTCCAGGGAAGCGAGGGAGCAACCCGGGCAGCTTCCAGTGTCCGCGAGCCCCGGATGGGAAGGTGCCGCATCCTGACTTCTGGTGAATCTGCGTTCAACCCCGGGGCGCTTCCACGCCCCCTTCCCCCCGCGCCTTGCTTCCCCTTTCGGTCTGGGCCGCGGGGGCGTCCTGAAAAGGGAAGGAAGCGGTGTGATCCTGAGGCGTGGAGCTCCCCGGCTGCTGACCCCGCTCCTCGGCAAAGTGAGTCAGCACCTCGGACCCGGACGGCAGCATGGACAGTGGGCGCGGGAGCCCTTGCCTTCCGCGGGGAAACTGAGGCAGCTCCTAGGCTCCGAGGGGGCCATTTAGGAGAGGGGCTCCAGCCACTGTGCGAGGATGACGGCGCAGCGTGTGTGTGCGACCCCGGGACCCCGCTTCCGCCCGAGGAGGCCAGGGGAGCCGGGGTCTCGGCGCCCGAGGCTTCCTGTTGTGGGACGCTCGAGGGGTCGCCATGGAAACCGAGGCCACAGAGGTCGCGCTGCAGAACAGGAAGGGAGCGGGCGGGATGCGCGGTCCCCTCCCCAGGACGCAGCCGGGCCCCCCGCGTCCCCAGGCCGCGTCCCGCCCCGCCCGGGCGCTCCTAGGAATTTCCACGGGGATCTTTCGTCTTGGGGTGGGGGGCTGGGACACTGGATCCCCGCTCCGGAACCGCCCGGGACAAGTCACGCCGTGCGACCAGGGGCGTCCCTGCACCCTAGAGGCTCCGGGGAAATCCCGTGCGCAGGCCGGTGATTTTCAAGCGGGTTTTTCTGCGCTGACCTCGCCGGCTCCTGTAGTCCCCGCAGGAGGTGCGCGCGGCGAGAGCCCCCTCGCGGCCCGAGCGCCACTCTCCACTCGTGGCTCCGTGTTTATGGCGCGCCTCCTGCAGGCCGGACGCGTTCCCAGGTGCTGGGGACACAGCAATGAAAGTACGTAGTCGGGCAAGTACGTAGTATGCTGCACGCCTGTAACCCAGGTGCACGGGAGGCTGAGGCAGGAGAATCGCAAATTCGAGGCCATCCTGGCAACTTAGGGAACCCTTGCCTCAAAATTTTAAAAGGGCTTGGGGTGTAGCTCAGTGGTAGAGCATTTGCCCAGTATGCACAATGCCTGTCAGATGGTCCACACCTGTAATCCCAGCAATTTGGAGGCTGACGTAGGAAGATTTCCTCGAGTTTGAAACCAGCCTGAACTGCAAAATGAGGCCTTGTTTAAATAAAATAAAATAGGCGAAAAAACAAACCCAGTATATTGTATGTGATGGCCTGACTTCCGTCTCCAGTTAAAATAAAGCATTAGTGATAAAGAAGAGAAAAATAAGGTAGGAAAGAGAATACAAACTCTGAGGGTTAATACACTTTTAGAGTATTTTGGGAAGATATAGAAAATGAAATTGAAGGGC